CCCCATTATCTTGGTGGTTGCATGCCTGGATGGAGATGATGCAAGCCTCTGTGAGTTTGGGGGGGCATGGGGACTCTATAAGATTAGGAGCCCCTGAAAATGCCAGTCACCTGCACCTAAGTCTCAGAATATTCTTCGGCTGAGTTGGAGAAAGGACTGAAAGAGATGAAGTCCTTGCTGTTTGCGTTGGGCCTCGCCCTCTGCTGTGTCGTCCAGGCTGAATGGAAAGAAATGACCACATGCAGGAAACAGGTAAACCGAGGTGGTTGGAGCAGGGCTGGTTTGCCTTGGGGTGGATTGATCAGGGGACCCCAATACGGTAATCTCAAGTGTGGAAGTTGATGTGAAACACAGCCATTCCCCAATGCAGAGAACCGAAGGTAAATTGCAACAGGTCTCCAGCTTCTCTCTGTAGGCCAAAGGACCAGCCAGGGGGTTTGTCCTAGCTCGAGGGGGACCCTCCAGACTGGGGAAGAAAGGGGTTGCATCGTTCATCTCTCCCTCAATCTGTGACTGAGAACACTTTAGTTTGGGTCTGCGTGGGGGCCTGTCAACGCTCTTTCTGCAGTGAATCAAACCGAAGCGGTGTTCACGTTCTCTCCTTGGTTGGTGGGACAAGACCAAGAAAGCTCTTTGTTGCAGCTGCATCTAAATTCCAGTCCATCCCCATTTCAGACAAATGGGGGCCCAGTCTCTTCTTAAAAACCGCCAGTGATGAGGCACCTACAACTTCTGGAGAGAAGCCGTGGTCACTGTCAGGAAATTCCTCCTTAGTTCTAGGTTACTTCTCCCCTTGATTACTTTCCATCCGTTGCTTCTTGTCCTTCCTTCGGGTGCTTCGTTGAATAGGCTGCCCCCATTCTATTTCTTGAGCAGCAAGTGCATTTCACTTGGCAGGACCAGCTTGACCGGAACTGGAATTGCAAAGCTGCAGGAGTAGCTTAAATGGAGCGACTTAAATGGAGCAGGCTGTTCCCTTCCAAAGACTTTAATGTGGTTCCTTTTCCCTCTTTCTGCTTCAGGATATGGGTCGCTGGGTGAGCTCTGTCATTGCGTGCAATTCACCAGACTACCTGGGGCAAATAAGTGAAATGACGGCATTTGTCGCTGACCTGTCAAGCCCACAGGAAGACGTGTTTAGCATTTCAGCCCTCATCCCCATGTAAGTTTCCTAGCACAAGCCAAGCCCCTGAGCACTGACTGTAGGGCATTCAACAAGGCCATCCCGAGAGCCCAGCAGTCTGGAAGGGTGGGTTTCTGAGGCAGATTTGAAGGAGGAGCACACAGGGCTTTTCCTATGAACTCGAGGCTAACTTGAAGTAACGGAGAGCCCCATGGCGGTGCCAGAGAAAGCCCGACTAGCTTTGAAGAAGCAGTGAAGTGAAGGCAGCTGTTGAGCTCCTTCAGCCACTGACGCAAATACTTTGATCCAGTTGTGACTCTGAAATGCCTCAAATGAGCAGGACACCAGCTGGGC